GTTAGTTAATACAACATGACATAAATTGAACTTGACTTGCTACTTCCTAAACAAAATCAATTCTAAATTAACACTATGCTTAAGTATTTGGACCTGCCACAACAATATAAAAGCAAACTGGATGCTTAAACCTAGAAGAATCTAGTCAGTTTATCCAAAGAATGCTAAAAGAGATCAAAGTTCATCCTTCCAACAATCAAATGCAATAACAGTTGATGGCAGCAAATACCCAGGCAACCATACATTTAATTGTATTCAATCATTCAAACCTCTCCCTCTCTACAGAGGAAGTTATTAAAGAGATCTGAAAATATACCCTCTTCCAAAGTAACACCAAAAATTAGGAATAAGAAGAAAAAGAAGAAATTTCCTTCATATGAAAAAAAAAATGACAAGGTTCTTATTAAAAAATAACAGTGTCAGAAAGCAAACACATAAAGCAAGAACAAACATTTCAAAAGTGCATGTATTAACATTTTAAACAAGAACACATCTAATGAGAGTATCTTACTCTTCTTCTCCAGAAGAATCAACCGATTCTGTTGAAGGTGTCTTCCTGGCCTGTATAAGAAAAAGTCAAAGGAGGATTCATTGTGAGAATGATTTTACACACACAATGAATACTAAAGCATATAAGTATCTAAACTCCAAGTAGAACATCTAACATTTACATCCTTGAATCTAATAAAGCATATGTATCTCCACACACAATGAATAACAAAGTTTAAGTTACAGAGATGTTTTCAGATGAGTAGAGAATTAACGTTGAACAAAGTTTGTGATGAATCACAAGATTATAGGTTGGCAGTTAAACTTTTCCTATGCAGAAATTCAAGCCAAATATTGAGTGCCCAAAAATCTTGTAACCATCTGAAGTCTATTGCCACATTCAGAAAGGTCCACATAAGCAGATTCTTAAATTAGTTGAACTTTAAACTGCGCCTCCTATCAATTGATGCATTGTGTCCTATATCATTATGCATACAATCTGGAATGTCCTCACAATTAGATAATAAATCATCAAAAATTAACTCACATTGTCCGTCCCCAGAATGTTCTCTTTGAATGAACCTTAGGTTTACCCAGTGGCTTCTCAGTGGAGGACTCAAGTCCCAATGCAGGTACAGGATGGCCTGGATCCATTGAGGACAAAATCTCTCCCATTGATCGATAAGATTCACCAGCAGATAGCAAATTTGAAGAACCAATTTCATTAGTTTGATTTTCATTTCCTTTTTTCTGCTTATCTTGTTCCACCATCAGCTGACCATTAGGATTCCTGATCTTTAGAGGATCTAGTGCTGCACTTGAACTCTCAGCCTCAGCCTGGTTGTCTTTAGGTGATCCAACAACTGAATCATCACCTCAAATACCTTTGTTCATAAAAACAAAAAACAATGGTACCCATTAATTGGATTGAATCCAAACTATTTGCATGAACAGCAGAAATCTAGTATATCAGTGACATTAGAATCTGACAGCTATCCCCTCTATCATCATTTGGTCTCTGGAGAGACATTATCAATTCTGAAAATGAAGCATGGATACAAGTTACATGAATCCTTTTCTTCAATTTGGCTCAATCTTAGGCAATTCACTCAGTAAGATACTTGGACTTTATCAGTTGACCTCTATCATCATTTTTCTACACCATTTCAGTCCACAGATTATCAGTTGACCTCAATTCCTCTTCCCCAAATTACAGTAGAGAATTCTTTCTAAGAGTGCTTGCTTTGGCATGAAATACATCCACCCAAATCATCTATGTTTTGATACTAACAGTCAGCTAATAGAATTAACAAAATGTTATAACTTGATATTAAGTGAGGACTATTTTCTTCAATTTGTATAGGTAAGGAGCTAAGTATCATAATATAAGGTGAGGGGCTAAAAGTGTTACATTATAAAAGTAAGGAATTAAAACTTAAAATTAAATCTAAATTTTGTTAACGGAATTAACAAATAAAATTGAATCTAAATTTCATGTTTTCTATAATAAAATGGTAACAAATACTAACAGTTAGCTAACAGAACTAACAAAATGTTATAACTTGATATTAAGTGAAGACTATTTTATTCAATTTGTATATGTAAGGAGGTAAAAGTATCATAATATAAGGTGAAGAGTTAAAACCTACAAATTTATTAAGGTAAAAGGCTAAAAGTGTTATAATATAGGATAAATGACTAAAACTTATAAATTTATTAAGATAAAAGGTTAAAAGTAGGTTTTTGCTTATTTTCAGTGCATGGGAGTTTTTTTTTTTGAACTTTTTTTCTTAAATTATATCATATATGTAATCACTTGTTTACTCTTTATAAGTAATTATATACTTAATATAACCAATTACATTTTTGTTAACAACTTAAATAATTTAGTAGTAATTTCTTTTTATTAAAAATAAGAGATTCTGAGTTTGAATAGTATGACATACAAAGAAGATGGAATAATAGATAGAAGATAATTATCTCTCATTGTACAATAAAGATAAAAAAAATTACATTTTTATTGTAATCAATTACATGGCACTCAATTTTCTTGCTAGGAAAATTTAATTTTCAAAACTAAGCCAATTTATTTTTAATGTGACTTTCCCAAATCCACTTTTATGAAAGAAATTATATACCAAACAGCCCTTAATGCAAGCTTCCATTTGGAAATTTTCTACAAGGAAGTGGTATATAAAAATGTTGTTTTCTTTTAGCCGAAGTCATGGTTACCTTGTCTCAAGAGTAGGTGCTGATTTGCAATTGTCCCACTTCACATGGACTTGAAATCTCTATGGAGATTTATTTCTTTTGCTCGGATTTGGAATTACGTGACCGTGTTAGAGAGACATTTGCCCAGCGAGAAGATAATTAGTGGGACATTACATGTTTGATATCATTTTGAAATTAAAAAATTAATTTATTAATTTAATGAACTTTAAACATATCTAAGTCACTTATCATTTTTTCTTCTTTCGGGATTCTTGCCTTTCACAGTTCACACTCCCCTGTAAATTTCATATTAAATTTTCATTTTTTAAATCTCATATTCAATTTTTATTTTTTTAACACATTTATTATAAACACAACATTATTTATTTATAAATATACACATCATAAGTTTACATTATATTTATTATATTATTTGCTCTTATATCACTTATTAAAGAAACATCTAATTAGATAAGAAAACAATCGGTTACTCATAACATGTTTTTTTTCTTTGATGAAATGACTCATAAGATATTTTAACATATCTTAGAACTAAAAAGCTAATACATTAATTTCATGAATAAAAATATTTAAACCACTCCTTATTCTCTTAATTTTTTCAGGAAAGACTCTTATTCTTCTATGGCCAATGGGAACAACTTACATGAAAGTCAAGGTATTGCATTGCTTTAAGTTTTAGAGCAGTGAACAGATAATTTTTTTATATTATATTTTTATATAATTTTTATTTGTTATTAAATATATAAATATATTTATTATTATAATTTTATATAAATAAAAAATTAATTATTTAAATAATATATAAAATTATGAAAAAAAAAATTATACCTAAATCATATTTTATTGACATTATATACTCGAGTCAATGGTCGGTCACCTTTTACTTTCTTGAGTGCTCAAGCGCCTCCATCTTTGACCGAAATTGAGACTCCATTATAAGAAGAAAATGGATCTACATTGCATCAAGCCAAAAACCAAAGCACAAAAAATGCAAGAAAAATGGATTGGAGCAAATAAGTTCGGCAAGATTTGATTGTATTCATTTAGATATTAATTTCAGAAATATTACTTGAGGTATATATAATTTTAATTATATAGTATTATAATTAGCATTAAGCTATATATAATTATTTTATGGTAAGTTATTGTATAATTATATAATATAACATTTTAAATTTATTTTTTATGCAATTAATTTTTATAATTATTTATTTCTTGTTTTATTAATTTTTAGAATTATTTATTATTTTTTAAAGCCTATTGGGTATTTAGCTCCTTGAGTATGTATTGAAAATTTTTCAAAAGCCAACGAGTATTTATTAATGAATTTTTTAAAACTCAATGAGTATTTATTTATAAATTTTAAAAAATTATTATTATAACAATTTTATATATAATTAAGATTACATTACACTCAATTTTTTTACCATAAAAATTTAATTTTCAAAAACTAAGCCAATCTAATTTTAAATGACTTTTCCAAATCTATTTTTTTTTAAAAGAAATTACATACCAAACAACCCTTAATGCTGGCTTCAATTTAGAAATTTCCTACTAAGTAGTATATAAAAAGAGTTGTTTTCTTCTAATCAAAGTAAAAAATGTCTTGTCTTAAAAGTAAGTGCTGATTAGCCAGGACTTGAAATTCCTATGGAGATTTCTTTCTTTTGCTCGGCTTTGGAATGACAGCGATGGGAAACATATCTTCAAACTAAAAAGACTAATCTTATTCTTCACCTCCCTATGGCCTATGGGAACAGCTTATATCAAATTCAATGTACTTGAATAGCAGAAACAACACCCAAACTCGTGGTCAACATGAAACTCGTGGTCAACATGAAACTCGTGGCAACATGATATTTTGTTAATGTCATTATTAGCGTTTTATGACTCCAGTCTATAGTCAACTTCCACCTTTCTGAGCGCTCAACGGCCTCCATCTTTGACCGAAATTGAAACTCCATTATAAGAAGAAAATGGAGCTACATCGCTTCAAGCCAAAAAACGAAGAACAAAAAATGAAGGAAAAATGGGTTGGAGCAATTGTGATGTTGGTTTTCGTAAGTGGGTGGTTGTGTTCTTGTTGTTGTGGGTGTTTGGAGGAAGAGAGAATTGCCCTCTTGAACCTCAAACATTCAATCTCTCCCCCAAATGGCAATGCTCTAGCATCTTGGAGAGGGCATGGTGATTGTTGTAAGTGGGTTGGGGTTGAATGCGACATCACAACAAAGAGAGTGATCCAGCTCTTTATTAATTATACTAGGGATTGGGATGTGTTTTCTTCATTTGACTGTGAGGGTTGGTATCTGAATTCTTCTCTGTTTTTGCCCTTCAAAGAGTTGAAGGGTCTTTTCTTGGGGAGAAATTGCATTTCAGGCATCATGAAGAATGAAGGTCATTCTTTTCTTTCTCTTTGAGCAACATTTTTAATTATTCATTTTGTGGGATATATGGTATTAGAATTTTTAGTTTAGCAACACCACTAACTATATTAATTTCTTGCACAGGTTTAGAAAAGTTGTCAAGCTTAAGCAATTTGGAGGTTCTTGATTTGAGTAATAACCGATTAAACAATAGCATCCTATCATCTTTGGCAAGTCTTTCATCCTTGAAAGTGTTAAATCTAGCAGTCAATCAGATGAAAGGAAATCTCCTTATTCATGGTAATCTTTTACACAATATAATTAATTAATCTGATACACTTTAAGAAATGAAGTACCATATACAATTTTAAAATCATTATGTTAATATCTGCTCGTTCTTTGTAAGCACATAAATCTTAACTGTATATAAAATTACTATAATAATTAAATTTTATTTAAAATTCTTAAATAAATGCCAATTAGACTAAAAAAAATCATTAATAGATACCTAATAGGCTTTAAAAATTATTTAATAAAAATTTAATGGGCCTTTTAAAAAAATTACTAAAGAATAATTTAAATCTAATATATCTGTCTTAATAGGATTTTATTTCATATTAATTTTATTTACAATTTCTTATTAATAGGATTTGATTTGATCTTTCTTTAATATCTTTCCAATTGTATAACATGAGAGCCACAATTTATTTCTTATAAATATAGATGAAAAAAAAAAAAAACCGAAGAGAAGAGTAACCACCGACAAGAGAAAAAAAAAAAAAAAGAGTTAAAAGACGATTTCAGACAATGCCATTCGTCAATGTTCACCTTTTGCCTACAGATACTTAATTTTTCTCTCGACTTAGATAGACAAAACTATTAAAATTTTTAAAATTATTTATTTATTAATTAAATTGTCCCTAATTATATTGTTTCTTTTCTTTTGTAACCTTAATTATATTGTTTGTTATTGCTCAAATACCTTGATCAAAAAGGTACTAGAGTAGATAATTTGTCTTTCGAATGGTACCTATATAAACATATATGAACTATTGAATTTATATCAAAACCTGTTTTAATACAGTAATGAGTATACTAAATCTTTACTCAGAAGTTGGGCCTTCTAAGTTTGCATATGAAACATTTCTAACATAGAGAGCGAGGGAAAAAAAAATTTAGGATAAAAAAAGAATAACTAAGAGAAAATAATATAGATAGAATAATAATAGAAGAAAGAATAATAATAAATAAAATATTAAAATAGAGATGAAAATAGAGGGCAATATTGTACTATAGAAACATAATATAATATTAGAATGTAAGAGAGGAAGCTAAGAGATGAAGTATTTAAAAAATTTAATGAAACCTAGTGTAAAGTGAAAAAATATCAAAAGGAAAATATAAGTTGCACATATTATATTTTGACTTAGAATATTTTTAATATAGAAAATGAGTGAGAGAGAAAAATTAAAGTAAAAAAAAAAAAGAAATACATAATGATATATAGAAATACAAAGAACAACTAAAAAGAACAATAGATAGAGGACGATAAGGGGAGAAAAATTAATAAAAATAAATAAATTACTAACCTAGAAAGAAAGAAATGGAGAATATAGGGTAGAGAATTAAATATATTGATAAATTGTAGAGTAATGATAAATTGTGGAGTTAAAAAGTTGGAAGATTGAGTTACAAGAAAAATAATTGGTGAAGTCGAATAAAGGCAATTGAAAAAGCATCAAGTAATTAATACTAGGAAGTTGCGCCATATATTTTTGTCTAAAACATTTCTAATGTGGAAAATGGGAGGATAGAGAAAAATTAGAGTAAAAAAGAGATATAAATTAATAACTAGGGATGCAATAAGTGAATAATAAAAAATAATATAGAGAAAAAGATTAGGAGATGAAAAATAATAACAAATGAATTATTAATTTATAAAAGGAAATAGGTGTGAATATATTGTAAAGAGATGAATATACCGTAAAGAGATAAATATGATAATAGAATGTGAGAAGGGAGGCTATGAGATGGAGTTTCGAATTAAAATGCATTAATGCTGAAAAATATTAGAGAATCGAAAGTATTTAATAGAAAGATATGTAGAGAGATAGAGTCTTAATGTAAGAAATTGACAAAAATATAGTACGTGAATGGATATGATAGGTGTAAGAGGTGAGAAGAAGATGATACGGAAGAGAAAAACGAACATCAAATTATTTATTAATATAAAGAGAAATAATAAATAGAGATAATTAACAAGTTTTCATAATTTATTAATATAGTATCAATCCATGAAAATTTATCTTTATTTATTAAAATTAACTTGATTAAGTTTATATGCTGAATTTTCTTTCATATCTACTATTCAAACCTTCTTTTTATGAATTAATACATTTCAAATTATTAATTATAAAAAAAACAAATATTTTAAAATATATTTATAAGTTAACTAAGGTCATAATTAGTAGCAATTTTAAAAAATAGAGACAATTCGTGCTTATTTCTCATAAACCTTGTGTGCAGGTGTTAAAAGATCACTAAGACTAAGTAATTTGAAGGTGCTTTATCTGCATAGTAATTCTTTCAATAACATGATTTTATCTTCCATAAGAGGACTTCCATCTCTTAGGATTCTTGATATGAGTTTCAACAAATTAAAAGGAATACTAAATATTAAAAGTAGATCAATTGCTTCGGTTAGTTTTTGTTTTCATCAATCATTTTCTATCCTTCTAATGAAATTTTGTTTTGTTTCCATCATTGTAATTTAATTAATTGGTTTCATTTTTTCTCTGCAACTACCAGAATTAGTTGGTTTAAATGAGTTGAAAGAGCTGGATTTAAGCAACAATAATGTGGAAAGTTTTGTGGCTCCCAAAGGTACTAAAGTAAAGTAGAAAGTATGGTTATGATGAGGCTCTGTCATTCTGCTCCTCTCATCAGCAAATACCCTAAAAAATTAGAAAACTTAATCCATTAGTTTCATACTTATAAATTGTTTGATGAAACAATAAACGTTGTTGCAGGTATTAAAAATCCATTAGGCCTAAGTAATTTGAAAGTGCTTCATCTGGGCAGTAATTCTTTCAGTAACACAACTTTATCTTCCCTAAGAGGGCTTTCATCTCTCAAGAGTCTTGATTTGAGTGGCAACAAATTAAAAGGAATACTAAATATTAATGGTAGATCAACTGTTTCACTTGTTTTCTGTTTTCATCTATCATTGAATATCCTTCTAATGAAATGTTGCTTCTTTTCCCTCATTTTTATATATAACTATTTGTATTTTGTCTCCACCAGTATTCGTTGCTCTAAACAATTTGAAGGAGCTAGATTTGAGCAACAACGAAGTGGAAAGTTTTGTGGCTCCCAAAGGTACACATAATCAAACTAGAAAGTTCAATTATAATGAGGCCTAGTCATTTTGTTCCTTTCATCAATAAATCCCTAAAAGAATTAGAACACTTAACCCACTAGTTTCATACTCATAAATTTTTGTATGGAACTATAATTTACTTATACATCAATAGAGAAAAATTTAGCTCAAGCTCAAATGAAACATTTAACGTCATGTTTGCATTGGCAACTATGGAGCATATGTCCCTTTTAAAGATCATGAGTTTGCTACAAGATCATATCTTTGTGGCTTTAAAGCTTTTCTTGATTCCCTCTTTTGCTTGTAGGTACGAGAAATTTAAGTATGCTAGAAGTCCTAAATCTAGGATGGAATAGAAACACTTGTGGAAGATGTTTAGTGCAGTCAATCAAGGCATTCCCTTTAATTAAGATCCTTGATCTTACTGGCAGTACATCTATAGAGCAAGTGATTGTTGAAGGTAAGTAATGCAGAGAAGCAAAAATGACAAGAAAGAAAAAGAAAAAGAAATGCTTACCTATATTTTAGTTTTTCCATTGTAGTACATTATCTCACTTTATCCAAGCTACTAATAATAACTTATTACTTAATTTTGCAGATCTTCACACTTTTAAGGAGTTGGAAGTATTGCTTTTAGATGATTCTTCTCTTAACAATAATTTTCTTCAAAGTATTGGAAGGCTAAACTCTCTTAAAGTTTTGTCTTTATCCAGGTGTGAGCTCAATGGAACCCTGCCTGATCAAGGTAAAACATATAATCTTTTTACTAATCCAAAAAAAATATATAATCATCTCATAAGAAATGTACAGTTATGATTTGATGTAACAATTCCTCATTTCTTTGTTTCTTATTGTTTCTTGTGTTAATAATTTCATTTTTTTTCTTCTTTGATAATTGATATTTACAGGATGGTGTGAATTGAAGAATCTTGAAGAGTTAGATTTAAGTAAAAATAATTTTCAGGGAATGCTTCCCTCTTGTTTTGGAAACTTGTCATATCTTCAAGTGTTAGATATATCGTCTAACCATTTAACAGGAAATATTGCCACCAGCCCTCTTACCAATCTAAAATCACTTGAATATGTCTCACTTTCGAGTAATAACTTTCAAGTCCCAATTTCGTTTAGGATGTTTGCCAACCACTCCAAACTTAAGGTCCTTCTTGGCAATGACAACAATTTTATGCCTGAACCTCTCCTCCAAACTCCAATTCCGAAGTTCCAACTCATATTTTTGAGTCTGTCTTACCTTGCATTAAAAGAACCTCCCTACTTCCTCTATCACCAAAATGACCTTAGGGTTATTGATCTCTCCCACAACAACATCACTGGAGGATTCCCATCTTGGTTGTTCATGAACAATACAAGATTAGAAGTACTCAACCTAGGATATAACTCCATTTCAGGACCTTTGCAGTTGCCATTACAACCTCATTTCAACATTACAATCTTAGATGTATATAGGAATAATTTATTAGGAAATATTCTTATAAACATCAGTTCAGTCTTTCCCCATCTTGCAGACTTAGTAATGTCCAAAAATTCCTTTCAAGGTCAGATTCCTACTTCTTTTGGTGATATGAAATCATTAGAATCTTTAAGCTTGTCAGACAATCATTTGTTTGGGAGTATCCCTGATTCCTTTGGTCATTTGAGCTCTTTGGCCTTTTTAGACTTGTCTAACAACCAGTTGTCTGGAGGAATACCAGAATCGTTGGTCCTAGGTTGCCCCTTGAGGTTTCTCATTTTGTCGGGCAATAATTTGCAAGGGCGAGTATTTCCTCTTCTTTTCAACTCAACATATTTAGAGGTCTTACGACTGGATAGTAATAACTTCGCTGGAGAGATACCTGAGTTTTCATCTGTCAACTTTTTTTCACCTTGGATTATAGAAATGAGCAACAACCATATCTCAGGCAAGCTTCCAAGATGGATGGGAAATATATCATCCTTGAAAGCGCTGTCTTTGTCCAAAAATCATTTTAAGGGTCCTTTTCCAATAGAATTTTGTGGCCTTGATCAACTTTTATTTCTTGACCTTTCAAACAACGAGTTGTCTGGCTCTATCCCCAATTGCTTTAATTCAATTGAAATAACACATGTTCATCTGAGCAACAATAGATTTACTGGGCCATTGACAAAAGCATTCTTTGGCAACTCTTCTTTGGAGACATTGGACCTTTCAAGGAACAATCTAACTGGTATAATTCCTAATTGGATTGGCAATCTCCCTTCATTGAGCATTCTTTTGTTGAAAGCTAACCATTTTGAAGGTGAAATTCCTATTCAGCTATGTCAGTTGAACAGATTAAGGATGATGGATCTTTCTCAAAATAATCTTTCTGGTTCTACACCTTTATGTCTAAGTAATTTAACATTTGAGGCCTCAAGTTTTTCAATTGAGATTGGGTATTGGGTGGGCAAAAGCAGATATGAAATGGTATCACAATTAGAAATGTGGAAGAAAAAGCTGAAAAGGAATTTCTACAACCTTTTGCCGTATGAAAATGGGTTAATGGATATGGAGGATTGGGTAGAGTTTACAACAAAGAGAATATCATATGTTTACAGTGGAAGCATCCTTGGTTACATGTCTGGTATTGATTTATCTTGCAACCATCTCACGGGAAGGATCCCACCTGAAATTGGATACTTGAATGAGATCCATGCACTAAACTTGTCACACAACAAGCTAACAGGACCAATTCCCTCTACATTTTCAAACTTGAAGCAGATTGAAAGTTTAGACCTTTCCCATAACAATTTGAATGGGAGAATCCCCCCTCAGTTGACTGAGCTAAACACCCTGGCTGTGTTTTCTGTTGCATACAACAACTTATCAGGACCAACCCCTGCTCAAAAAGCTCAGTTTGGGACCTTTGATGAAAGTAGCTACGAAGGAAATCTTCTCCTCTGTGGAGCTCCACTGCAGATCAACTGTACCAAAATCGAATTACCATCAATTTTGACGAATGTCTCCAATTATGATTGGGAAAACAATGATTTTATCGACATGAGTGTTTTTTATTGGAGCTTTGTGGTAGCTTATGTTGCAGTCTTGATGGCAATTGCAGCAGTTCTACACATAAATCCTTATTGGAGACGGGCCTGGTTTTACTCCATTGAAGTCTGCATCACCTCTTGTTACCACTATGTTTTGGACTAATTTTGTTGGTTTTCTAGAAGAATCATTTAACCTTTGTAGAGTCAAGACTCCAGAGAGACTGGGAATCAAAATTCTAAAAGAAAATAAGTAATCAAGGGGTAGCCTTGGATTCAAATGATCTTAATGCAAACTTTGATATTGAAGTTTCCCACTAAGAACATCTCAATAAAACTTGAATCTACATCGATCCCCCTAAATGTCATTGAATGGAAAATAATGACAACATTTACAAATTTGGCCAAAAAATGGCAACTTTTACAAATAAAATGCATGTTCAAAATGTCGTAGCTTTTTGTTCTAAGAGAATAAGGAGGCAGCTCGAATGGTACAAAAGCTTAAACCAGAACCAAATTAATTAGGGGTACACTCAAGAGGCCATGGCACAAAACCTACCATTCTCCCAACCGAAACAGTGGTGGAAAAAATAGTACTCTGATATTAAAATGTTTACAAAAAGATGAGAACTCGAGAACCTTCACTTACATTTGCAGTCTAAATGCAGCAAGGATACCAAGAGGAACCATCTCTTTAAGCTACTACATAAGTCAAAAATGGTCAGCTGAATAACAAAATTTGTTACTTCTTCTTTGTGTTCTCCACCAACCGTAGCCTAGTAGGATATATCTTGGGAACTTCAAAAAAATTTGAGTCATTCATTTTCCTTGTAAGAAACCTATCACTTGAGGGAAATTTTTCTGAGAATTGATGACAGATGCAATTGTATTTAGTATGAAAAATGGAGTAGAGAATGAGAAGCGGAGTAATGCTTCAGAACTTCCATGCCCTCAGTTCACTATGTCAAGCTATACAAGCACAGACAATGGAGAAATACCAGTTATTTAAGCCTTCCTCTAAGTGCATATAGAACATCTACCTCTTGAGCACCATTGGACCACAGAAACCAGCATGTTTATGTACTTCCTGCCCATCATCTGCCAGAAGACATGGCTTCCTCAATTCTCCTAATTACAATACTAAGACTACCACCACTTTCCCAAGCAGTGACAGCAGCTCGATGAACGTGCCTGTGCCATTTAAGCAGATTGAAAGACTGAAGAACAGACCACCTTGCTTGATTTGACGTCTTCTCAAGGTAATGAAAATCAATCATTAGCATCTTTTTTCTCTCTCTAGGTGAGAATAATTAGTACCTATTAATGGAGTTATTGCATGAAAATAAATCCCTGTAGCTGTACCTGAGCTACAGACAATGGGGGTTGCAGAAGTACACAGATGATGGAAAACATGTTTTCATCATTCTCCCCACCCTCTGCCTCACCATAAACCATAGCCTCAGCAGCAATACCAGCAAAAAGCATCATGCAGTACCTGATCATATAATTTATGCATCAGTATAATCAATCATAATAGAAAAATATTCCTGACATGCATTTTTGCTAATGACATGTTTACAAACAGCCTTAGAAGAGAAGAACATGCTCTGCAGTTCTGCAGAGTGCCTAGAAGAATAAATTATTTTAACTCCAGTTTAGACAGATTTATTCCACTTGGAATATCAGTGATCATAATTAGAAACTAATTGAACCATAGACCTTAAGACCTGATGCAGCACAAGAACAAAGAGATTGAGAGTAATAGAAGATGTAGAAAAAGAGATAAAAAAGGAAAAAAGAAAAAATGAAAAGAAGAAGAAGAAAGGAAGAACTAGAAAGAACAAGAATTTAGGTTGGGAAACTATCTTAGAGTTCTAAGTATTTCCAAAAACTGAACGTCCGAGACATGATGAATAACAATCCATAAAGAAACAAGGAAATTGACGATTTTTTTAAATAGTAAATGAAATAAATATAATTTGGGCACTAAACTTGCATCTAAGGCAAGAATATCTAAATCTTTAGACTGCGTTAAACATCAGACACCACCTCATGATACCAACCTGTCAAAGGCAGAGCCACTCAATTGTCCTTCAGCAAGCTCATTACTCATTTTCTCATCCCAAAACTGAGTTCCAGCCTGTAGGAAAAAACTGAGTTGGGCCTTTATAACTTCCGTAACTAAAGGTGTCCACAAGAGATGATATTGCTTAAGAATCAAACAGCATACAGCATGCAGTTTGATTTACTTTAAAAAAATACTTAGAGCAAAATGTAATTAAAAAAAAAAAAAATCAAAATGACAACCTGCCCTTGGATGCCCATCTGCATTGCAGCAATTGGATCTAAAATCACTCCACAAATTGGGCAACCCATAAGGTAGGCTGCAAATAAATTAGCAAAAGAACATTAGTTATACTCATAAGCCAATGTGATATGTTAAGATCGTTGTCAAAAAACCAGAAGACACTTCATCAGCCTTTTGGCCACTGCTAAACATGCAAAATGACCATGCAAAAAGTGTCTAAATACAGGGATTCATATTTCAGATTTTGTATTAAAGAAAACCATAATAACATTAAAGTGAACAATGCAAGGATTACATACCGGCCTGCTTCATGAACTAGAATCCAACGCCTAAATGGAAGCCAGTAACTTGAGATTAAAGCTAAACATGTACCCCCAAGGAAGATAAAGTCATAAAGGCTAGGCCCAGTATGGCAGCAAGGTTAGGACTGATATCAATCCCTTGAAAAAGCAGATAAGAGACTCCACCCAGAAGAGCAACCAATGCAACGATTGAGGTTTCAGAAGAACCCCACTTTTTTGGAGAAAGTTTAGAAACTGAAAGAGGAAAAGGTAATCCGTAACTATTTCAATGAAATTTTACTTTTATTTTCTTAGATAAAAACAAACTGCTAGAATATCAACCATCGTTAAACAACCAAAAAATAATTGAACGATATACATTATTCCAATCCCAATCATTTAAAATTACGCAATCTGCTGAAGCTGCAAAGACTTCTATATGCAAACTAGTTCAAATCAAGACGATGCAACAACGTGAAGAACTTAAGACAAATTCATAAATATTAAAGTAAAGGTACCATCTAAACCAGTAGAGGACTTCAAGACACTTGGTGTAACGTCTCTTGGCCCCTCAAGAACTGCATAAAGTGTGCATGTTGAAGAAGTTAAAAGCAGAATTACATTCATTCAAGCAGAAACGAAAGTTGTTACTCTGCAAAGCCCACTCCTTTACATATAACAAAGGACCCATTTTCTCCCTTTTCAAGTTCGCTGCGAAATTACTAACATTAGACACACACACACACACAAAAACAAAACCAAAACATATAAAAGAACACCCTTTGCAAGACTTAATAACAGAAAAAGTACCTATACTGCTGAACCTTCCAAAATTGGGCAAGAACCCTCGGTTCTTTAGAAACCCATAAGCACCACCTACAAGTATCATAGCACTAGCATTCAAACAAGTATCCAAGACCTCCCAATCCCTCTCTAACCTCCCAAAAAACCCCCGTTCTCCGAGTTGGGGCCGAGGCGATTCAATAGACAAAGAACCATCTTTGAGCTCCTTCTCAACTGGGTCACCATTTTCTTTCTCAATTGATTTCAAGAAACTGAGAGCCCTAGCGAGGTCCTTGTGCTTCACTGCCTCCGAGTACTCTTGCTACTCTCTCAGAGTTCTTATGGGTGGAGGAGCCGTTTTGAAGGAAGGTGGAGCGAATGGAAGGAAAATTGAGGAGGAGGAAGAGGAAGTGGAGCGTAAGAGAGAAAGCAAGGACAACTTCTGGGGGTAACGGATGAAGCGAGATCGACATTACAGAACTACTTCGCTACGAACTTGAAACGTTGCGGGCTCGTTGATCAGATGTTGGATTTTTTATATTTTTTTGGGTACAGGAAATGAGATTTATTTATTTAATTTATTTTGGGTTAAATTTCATAAATAGTTGATTAATTATGTGATTTAATTTAATTTAATTTAAAATTAATTTTTTTAAAATAATTTATAAATTATTAATTTTGTTTCAAAATGTCTACTTATTAGACAAATATACCGTTAATTAGATTAACAAAATGTTTGATTACTTGATAAGTTGTCTTTTAAACTTTTGAAAAATATTAAATATAATACATATATTTTTATTTTTTTAATATTTTATTTTTTAAGTTTAAATTTTATATCAACTATAATAATTAAAAATATAGTACCTGCATGATTTTAATTTAGAGATTTATAAAATTGATATGAATTTTTATTTTTTTAGGTAGTTTTAATTATGTATCGATGTTCATTTAATTAAATTAAATTTTAAAAGAGTTTATTTATTAAAAATATTATTATTTAATAATAAATTAAATTTTTTAAAAATAATAAAATTTAAATTATAATATTGAGTATTGTAAATTAAAATTAGAATCTTAATTAATGTAAATTAAAATTTTATCTTAATTAATTATTACATTTGATAAAAAATTTAAATTTAAAAAATAAAATATTGTAAAAAATAAAACTAATGCACTATATTTAATATTTTCAAAAGTTTAAGAGGTAACTTGTCTACACCAACCTATCTAGACCAACATTCTTGTAGTCTAGTTAACGAAATATTTATCAAGTAGATGATTTTAAAATAAAATTGATAGTTTATAGATTATTTAAAAAAAATTGTTTCTAAACTAAATTAAAATAAATTACATAATTAATAAACTATTTATTGAATTTAGCTTTTGTTCTGCCTCGTCAAATTAATGGTGTATTTGGGATTGTTATAAAATGTTGTGGCTGTAGTTGTAGTTGTGCTTAACTATGGTTATACCATGCTGTAGTTATGGTTAAAAATTATTTTGATATTTTATTATTTATTTTTTAAAAGTATTATAAATGAAATATAATAGATTTTGTTAATTATTAATTAAAATTTTAAAAAATATTATAAGATATATAATTATTAAAATATATAATATTTATTATTT